TCAGGTAATAATTGTGATGGTATGGCTCAAATTTGATGATATTATTTTTTGTTTTGGTTCAGTAGGTTTTGATGTTTTCTCCTGTCTGACGGCAAAAGTATCATTAAGCATTTCACCATAGTCACTGTGAATAAATAATCAGTATGTGAAGAAGACTTCGATTGTTTTATTGTGTTAGAATAAGTAGTTCAGCTGGATCTTTTTATGCTTTCAACTTATAGTTAGCAATGCTCGTATGGTTTAGACTGGGGCTTTATTAGTATGATTGTTTTGCTACTTTTAAAACGTTTACCTTTCCAAAGTAAAATTTTAGGTTTGGTAACAGATGTGACTTTCTGGGGTGATGTTATTGTAACGCCATTGCAAGCGGCCTATAGCGATAAAGTTTTTGAACCAATGTATGAAGAAGACGGCAAAGAAAAGAGTGCAGCAGCTACCGCGGAAAAATCCGAGGCGATGGATACTCAGAGCTGAATGATTGGTTGACGTATCGAGTTTATTTCAGTCTATTGGAAATGGAAACAGTCATCTTATATGATATCCTATATGTTCTGACCTTGTTGAATCACTATCAAGATATTGTGTGAGCAGTAAATTGTTCACACAAGTCAACATTTTGGGTTCTGAGTCAATCTTCATAGTTGAATTTGGTTATATTCTGGCGACTTAGTGAGATCTTTTTCTTATTTCTTCATGCAGTTTTTCAAGGAAAAGTTATAAGTGGGGGAAAATCAAGCATAGAGTATCAGTCAATGAAAGATAAGCTTATTAATTTAATTTGATGTGTTAATTTGCATTTTGAAAGAAGTGGTGATTAATTTATGTTTTGTGTTTGTGTTGATTTTGATCGATTTGATGTATTTTCCGTAATATGTTCAGTTTTGGTTGGATATTTGGGTCGAAGATACAGTTAAAGTATGAATGGATGATGATCTGTTTGTCATAATTGTCATAACTTCGTTTATTATTGTTGTTGTTTCTGCTGACATAATCAACTTATTTTTATGGGGTCGGGATAGAGAATTGTAACTGTTACCAAAGGCATATACTTTCTTGTCGATGGGAGTTCTGGGTCAGTTCGGTTTGATTCATTGTATTTGAAGCGTGTTCTTCTAGTGACTTGCTTTCATACGTTCTCTTTAACCGGATGATCTGATCAAATGAAACTAATCGTGATCTGTTCATCTGATCCATTATTATTCGACTTCATTTTCACTGATTAAAAAATTGTTTGCTGAGCTGAATTGGAATCATTTCAAATAAAATCCTCTTTTTAATGTTATCGATATGCTGGAAATTTTCACATTTCACAATCAACTACTGAGAACTCCTGTGGGTGTAACAATTAGTGTGGTGCGGGGACGGTAAAAAAGTGAGGGACGGGAAAAATCGAGGTGGACTCGAAAAAAAAGAGAACGGGGTCCTCGAAACTCGCTGATCCTCGCGCCACACTACTAGCAATTACGGTTATAGTACAACAGGCGATTTGATCTAAATAACTTGTTCAAAAACATCCTCTTTTTATACAAATACATCTGCAGTTTCACATCAGTTGGTGCTATTCGTTATCAGTATCGCGTTTTGGATAGTGAAACGCAAACGGAGTGTATAGCAAAATCATGAATTGTTCTCTGTGAGAATTCAACAAGGAATCAAAATTGTTCATGATAGAATGTTAACAGCAAAAGTTAATAAACATAGTGCGACGTGTATGTCACGCAAAAGGCAACTGAAAAACACGATGAACAGATTTGTTGAAATGAATTAATTACAATTTAACGGTGAAAAACACATTTATAATACGAAAATAAGCAATATACTTGATAAAT